AAAAAAAAAAAAAAAAAAAAAAAAAAAAAAAAAAACCAGTTACGTACACTAGGGGAGTCCTCCCCAGGGGCCACCTGGGAGGAGCTCCATATGTGGGCGTATATAGATGTATGTAGATGCGTGTAGATGTAGAGGAAGAGGCGAGTGATTAAGCATTCAGGTCAGAATCTCCGCCAGGGAAAGGGCATGAGGTGGGAGGGGTCTGGGAAATCAGAGGGAGGGCGTAGTGGCCAGGAGGGTTCTATGTCTGTCCAGTCTTCCAAAACTAGGCCATAGTCTCTCATTGCTTCCAAATCCCGCTGTCTCTCTCCCCTATCTCCACTCCATTCCACCCTAAGGCTTGACCCACTCTCTGCACTCAATTATATCTGGAGAGAGAAAGACCAAAGGACAGGACCCGTGGCAGCAGAGTATCTGCCCAAGGACAGGACCTGTGGCAGCAGAGTATCTGCCCACAGGTAGGCTGATAACAGGTAAAGAGGGGGGTGTAGCGAACAGAGATCAACAGCAGCTGCTGGGAAGGAAGAGGAAAGAGCCAGAAGACATAATTGCAGAGGACAGGCTAGAGGCTGAAACAGAAAGTTTAACGGAGACTGTAGGCCAATAATGACAAAAGTTGCCATCCCGGAAGACGTGTTTATGGAGGCCTTTGGCCGGACCCTGATGGAAATTGAGTCCATCCCGGGAGCGCCCCCCCCCCCTCCCTCCCTCCCTCCCGTGTGAGAGCTCCCCACCGGCGAAGGTGGAAATGACGGAAGGCGTGGACACAGAAAATGCACAGCCTGCCCGGGATACTTCCCCAGAGGATGATCTGAGAAACATGGAAGAATGGATGGCAGAATGGATGCTGGAAAGGCTTAGCCTGAAAATTAAATACCCGGGGCATAAGGACGAATTGTGGGACAACACGTATACTAGGGGCCTGCTCCCCCTGCTGGAGAGCAGCACAAGCCTGAAAGCAGCCCTGACACAAGGGCTGCCAGAAGGTGCAGACCGGCAGGAGACCTGCAACAAGCTCCTAGCGATAGTGCAAGTGTGTGATAAGCTCAGATCCGTACCGCGTGGCTTGCCTGTGATATGCTCAGATCCGTACCGCGTGGCTTGCCTGTGATAAGCTCAGATCCGTACCGCGCGGCTTGCCGTATCCTTGAGGGAAAATCCCGCGGAAGCCCCGAAGTACGGACGCAGATAGAAAGTTTTTTTTTTTCTTTTTGCTTTTGTTTTCTTTTTGAAACAGCCTTTTTCATTTTGTTTGGTTAATAACTCCCACGGGTGAATAGCGGCCACGGTATGAAAATCAAGAAACGGGTGCGGTTGGGACTTTTTGAATTTTTGCGCGCGCGCCCAAACTCCGATTTCTTCGCGTGTCTCGCATCCCCGTTTCTTGCTTTGCATCCTCGCGCCATCTTTCCTTCTTGCTGCGCGCATTTTCCCCATGCAGGACTCTTCGTCTTCCCCTACGCCCAGCTTGATCCTTGCCCTGTCTTCTTCCGCGAAGTGATTGGCTGTGTAGTTGGGATGCTCGGATCAATGTGGAAAGCAGGAAACCACGCACCACTTGAACGAACACCCCAATCATGTAGCTATGCAATCCCGCGGGTCGAACCCTCTAACTCCCCACCTCTCTCTGCAGTCCTGCTCCTCTGCACCCTGCGCTGCCCGCACCTCGCGCCGTTAACCCGCCGCCTCCCGTGCTAAAAATTTGTGCAACCCTCTCCTCTCCCTCTCTTTGATCTCGGCTGCAATGCTGCACGAGCTATGCGGGAGAGTCCGCGGCGCCGAACAATCTCGACGAGCCCAAGGACGGGCGGAGTGACGACATGGGGTGGGCCCCGTGGTAGTATCGGGGCTAGGCTGTCGGGGGACCGAGCAGTGGTGGGGATTGGACGCCGGCCACGGCAGGGCCTTGTGGCTATGGTGGTCGGTGGTCTTGGGAAGTTTTTTTTGAAGGCTGCGCCTGGGGACGGCAGTCAATTGAAATTTTTGTGTCTACAAGAGGGACTCGCTTTTATCTCCATTGCTGCTTTGTCTATGCATGTCGTGTGTGTGAAGCCCCGAGTGATGGGAGCTTGTTCTGCGCATGAGTGATGTCGAAGGTCCATGGATGATTAGATATCCTGTCGAGTGTTATTGATTGCATGCATGTATGTGTATATGTACTCGTCCGGGCGGGGATGGGGAAACTGAACTGGGAAACCGTCTGCTTAGGAGTATGAGTGTGTTGATCCGGTTGTTCCCCTCCCCTCCGCGGTCTTTCCTGCGCTCTCGCACGGTCTCGGCGTAATTCACTCTCTCACTCTCTCTCTCTCCCTTCTTCCCTTCCCCGATCACCTTCCTTGGAACTGACAGTCATCGCTTTTTGAGCTTATTGTCCCCGTACCGGTGACCTCAACCGCCTGCGTCCGCGCGGACGGTCGAGGCCCCTGCCAAGAGGAGAAAGCTTAGATTTCGTCATCTCCCCTCCTCTACGCACTCACTTTCGAGAGAAAAAAGTTGCGACGATTGTTGTATGGATTCGATGTTGGTTCGGATGACTGGGAACGCGGGATCTTGCCCGTGTTCATCACGTACCTCCGATCGTCTCATCTCGCTACCGACCTTCCCCATAACAGATGACGACAGCGTCCACTGCGATGCGGACGTACGGCGTGCGCTGAGGCGGACGGAGCAAGTGTGTTGGCAAGACCCGCCGCGGGCCTGTGAGATAAGGGGGAATGGGTTTGTGTTGATTGATCGTTTTGATTCCCGGACTCTGATATTGCCTTATACGGGTTTAACAGTGTTGCCCTGGTCGGCCGCTCACGACGTGTGGCGAGCGCAGTTTGATTGTCGCTGGTGTCGCCAGGGGGACTCGTGCTCGTGGCGACGACTGGTCCTGGGTTACGAGGGAGCGACACGTTTCCCAGAACTTTCCCGTAGTGCGGGGGCGCTGCCCGCGCAATTTCGAATTCAGATACCGACGAGTCCTCCCGCCTCTTTACCCTCCCGGAAACTTTCGAGCGGACTCTGTGAGTCCGATGCCGCGGCCTGAAGGCCTCGAACCACCCACCTCCACAACAAAGACCCGAGGGTTCAGACACTTTGTGAAGTCGATGATGAGGCCCGAAGGCTTCGAACCCACCACCTATCCCCCAAACCCCTAACGATCGAAGTTTTGTCTTCCGCCGCCATGGCCCTCTCCCCTTGATGCCTTTTTCCGTTCCGATGCATGGCGGCAGTTCATTTTTGCGGAAACCTTTTTGATTTTATTGTTTCGGAGTGATTCGCCCCCCCCCCCCCCCCCCCCCCCCCCCCGCGGCGACAGTTCGACTCCGAGAAAAACCTCGTCCACGAAATGAGAGTCTCCCGTTCCGTCCGAGAGACTCGACCCTTACGGCCAAAAATCCTCGGCCACGCCCCTCCCAGAACTCTGATCGACGACTCCGTACGGGAAGCCGCGAGGGGGCATGAGGTTGGTATCAGAGCTGATTCGTTTCGGCTCCGAGGTTTTCCTAGGACGATTGCCCTGTTTTAAAGTTTCTCCTTTTTTTCCTTTTTGATCTTTTTGCTGGAATTTCCAATTTTTTTTTTTGAGTAGGCTGGCTCCCAGTCGACGGAGGCCCGCGAATAGCAATCCGAACCGAGCGAGGGTCCGGGCTCGAAACCCGCCTCCCGCGATGGTGGAACCCGGAATCGTGGGGGCAAACGACAGCGACAACCATGCGGGGATGGCCAATCATCCCCTGTACTTTGTACCTCCTCCCTCCGAAGTTCCCATTTTTCTGAGGATGACACCGATCCTCGCACCTGGCTAGCTGCCTTGAAAGCCAAGGGCTGGTCGGACCAGTTGCTCTGAGAACGAATCCCTGGAAGGTTAGCCGGAACCGCTTTTGAGTGGTACGGACAAAACCCCTTCACTAATTGGGCAGCCTTCCAGAGGAAATTTCTCGATAGATTTGATCACATCGCACCAGGTCAATGCCTCCGKTTAATAAAGGAATACACACAGCRGCCTCGGGAGACCTTGGCTAGATATGCKGAACGTTTTACGTACCWAGCCGARCGCTCCGGGGTGGATGAGAARATGGTACGRACTGATTTCGTYARAGGACTGTCAGATTCTCGTCTGCGGAAAAAGATCCGCAAGAAATGCAACCCTATAGAACATACCCTGAYGGAGCTAATTCAGTACGCAATTAAGTACGGGAARGAAAATTASGATRTGGGCMTGGACTCAGAATCYGACGAAGATGACCCTKCGGGYGTTCGACKCAATAGCTACTCCGCTACGGCACGWATGTTCGAAGATCGCTTCGGGTTGGGTCCGACRAAAAAAGGCTYGGATCGGAAAGCTTCYTCCTCTGCTTCGGCCTCCCGTCGCYCTMGTCAAACRCAAGGAGGCCGGGGYGAGGAAGAAGTATCCATGAARGARGTCGCGRCCCAAYTAGTTACGGTAGTAGCCCCGTTGACGGAGTTTGTTCAAGGTCTRCAACGRCAAYRYATAGCCRCCGCACAACGRCAACAGGCGGCTATGGYKGCCGGAGCCCCTATGATAAGACCGGCCGTGGCCGGGGCTGYCCCACCCCTAYGCTGTTATAAWTGTARYCAGCCAGGCCAYCTTGCGAAAGATTGTCCGAAACCCYGAACTCAGGGCGGTCCTACCGGACCTTCCCAAATCCCRCTGGMTGCTCCCACCGCYGCARGAYAGGGGAGGGTAGCCACGGTAATGGACACAGGAACGACGGAGATGGTGACCCCTGCGGCCACTGAGATAGGACCCGATGAGTATATGGMRGCARCGATGTTCGAACCCGGGACCATCGGAGTGATACGTCACGTCCAACGGATTACCGAGGAAAGCGACCTCGGGCCGTGGCGACCAGGRTTCGARGATCTTGSGGTACCTGGTYCTGAATACAAGGATGGCCATATCGACGTATTGGATGCCTTGAAGGCTCTGGATCTTCGGATCCCCGTCCCTATTCCATATCTGCTAACCATTTCTGAAGCGGCTAACGAAAAGTTGATCGAACGGTGCCTCAAAAACAGGCGCCGATTCGAGGAAAGTCGAAAGGGCAAAAAGTCGGTGCTACGGGACCCACCCGCCAACGAGGAACCACAACCCTCAACCTTAGAGGTGCATGAATCCAACTGGATAGGGATGATCCAGACCATAGATTCCGCCCCGGAAAAACCCGAGGTATTCCTCCGGGCCTATCCTATAACCTGGAAAAGCGTAGAGTGTGATTGTGAGGTCTGGGGAAACCCCTCGGCCGCCATCCTAGACTCGGGATCATCGGCGGTCGCCATTTCTTGGAGATTAACGAAACAGTTGGGAAGGGAAGGACAGGTTCAGCCCCTCCGACCGGACGAACTGCATCTATCCGCTACCGGAGATAGTATTCATTGTAAAAGGGCGAATAACGAATGCGCCCATACGGGTGGGGCGGGTACATTGTTTGTGTGACGTGATCGTGCTGGATGTACAGGCGTATGATGTTCTGTTAGGCATTCCGTGGCAGGCGGCGGTCGGAGCGCGAATGCACTTTGACAGCTGTAAGGTGGTGCTCACATCGGCCCACCCCAAACCCCAAACGATACCAATGAGGCTGGCGGTGCGCATGCGCACCCAGCTGGCGCCTCGCCTCACCTCGAAAGCCCATCAAATCAACATGATCCGACGTTTGTCACCAGGCGAAAACGAACCCTCGACGTAAACCGACGAGACTGATGTACCCGACCGATATCCGATCCGAGTTCAGGATCGGTGGCGCCATTCTTGGCGGCGAGAACCACTCGAAATAGTTCGGGGCGGGTCCAATTGGTCGCACGCGTTTTCCTCCGTGGTGCAGGGGGAACCCCTGCTGAGGGTGTCCCGGATAGCTGACTTTTCGGAACCCCCTGCGTCCTTATACCTCAGAACGGACCCCCTACCTGAACGATTTACCGAGCTAAGGGGGCTGTGCGATTTATCTTTTCGACGGCCACGGTCCCTACTCACGAATGAAAAAGCCGCGATACTATTGAAAGAAGGGGTGTCATTTCAACCCCGGACCAGGGAATATCGATGGGGACCAAGGGAACTGGCGCAGGCCTTTTCGGTAGAACCCTCGGCCAAACCTGAGTTGGACGGTGACAGTGACATGGAAAGCGAGCCGATGAGTCCGGCGGACAGTCAACTCATTGCGACTGTCCTTTTTGGCGAAAACCGACAACTCCTTGTTTGGGGGCTCACCCGATGCTAGTGCGGCGGTACCCACGGTTACGACGACGGTCTCCCTTCCTCGGGGAACCGTGAAAGTTCAGTTACCAACCCGTGTTCCGGATGAATACAGACGCCTCCTCCTGGAGGTTATACGGGCCTATCCTAAGGTCGTCAATATTCAGGACCACGACATAGGGCTAACCCCTTTGATACAACATGCGATTGATACCGGGGAACACGTCCCGATACACTGTCGACCGTACCGATATTCCCTTAAAGAAAGACAACTGGCCTTGGAAAGGGTACGGGAATTCGAGTGGTTGGGGTGGGTCGAACCATTGCTTGGTCCGTGGTCTTTTCCCGTGGTCCTTGTGCCAAAACGAAATGGTTCGGTCCAGGTATGTATCGGCTACCGGAAATTGAACGCCATCACTACCAAAGATGTGTATCCCTTGCCACGAATCGATGATTTGTTGGATGCCATCGGGGCCGCTCGAGTCTTTTCCAAGTTCCATATCCGACACGGTTTTCACCATGTCGCAGTCCGACCGGAGGACCGACCCAAAACCGCTTTTGTCCTATTCGAGGGCACGTGGCAATGGGTCTGGTGTCCCATGGGAATTTGCAATGCCCCGACAACGTTTCAGCGGGCCATGAATATGGCCTTCGCTGAGTTCGTTAACAAAACCCGACTAACCCAACCCCTGATCAATTTCTGCGTGATTGTGTATATGGATGATATTTTGGTCTTTTCGAAAACACACGAGTACCGCGTGGAACACATCGAGTGGGTTTTGCATGCACTGAAAGATGTCGGGTTCAAAGTGGCCTTGGAGAAAAGCGAGTTCTTCTTTTCGGAGATTTCATTCTTGGGGTATATCGTCACGGTCGATGGGCTAAAACCGGATTCGAGGAAGGTGGCAGCAGATCAAGACACCTCGGCGCCGGTCACACTCACCCAGGCTCGGGCTTTTCTGGGGCTGGCATCCTATTACCGACGCTTCATCAAGGGGTTCGCTGGTATAGCGAAGCCCCTCACGAACCTGCTGAAGAAAGAGGAACAGCTGATCTGGACACCGGAATCTGAGGTGGCATTTCAGGCGTTGAAGGAGGCTCTAAAATCTGCTCCTGTGTTGGCGCGTCCCGACCCGACAAGACCGTTCGCACTGTACACGGACTGGCAGCCTCAGGCGATATCGGCAATGCTGACTCAGCACGGGAAGGACTGAAGGGAGCACGTCATTGAGTATGCGTCCAAGACGCTCAGCCAGGCACCGGCTAATTACGAAGCATGCAAAGGTGAATGCCTGGCGGTGGTGTGGGGGATTCAGCACATCCGACCGTATCTGTACGGCTAGAAATTCGTGCTGGGGACGGATCATCAGCCACTGCTGTCCCTATGCAACAACACGGACTACACGGGGATGTTGGGCAGGTGGGCGGTGCGTTTGCAAGACTATGACTTCGACATTTGTCATCGCGCCTCGCGGCAGCATGGTAACGCCGATGGATTAACGCGCCTCCTGCCGCCCAACAAGTGTCCCGCCAACGAGCGACTCATTCCGTGGAGGCCAGAAGTCGCGGCGACGAAACCACACTACGGGGAGCTATACGTGCTGCGTAAGGACGACGCCTGAGTCCGGAATGGAGGTTTCATCGGAGATGGCCGACACTATCTCTCAGCCCTCATCCCACTCCCTCGCTCTCTCGTCTAGCCCCAACTCGTCTTCTGAAACGCACCTAAGTCCCTGTTTCTTCTGTACCTTACCTATGATCCCGGACCAAGAAGGGTCACATCCGGGAGGGCCCAATTTTCTTTTATGGGTACAGTGTAGTCAGTGTCATACAGTCAAGTCTCACGGACAGTGCGTTAGGTACCGAAGTGAAAAGACGTGGGTCTGTTCCAACTGTAGAACGGACCAAGTCCCTACCGAGAAGCGGTATCTGGACGCTAGAACAGCCGACGGATTTGCGCCGAGTGCCCGCCGGGCAAAGGCCTGGACGGACCTTCTGTTGCTACGAAGGCTGTCAGGCGACTCGCTGTCAGAACTTACCAAAGCCGAACGGCGGAGAGTCACAGAGCGGGCGCAAGACTATCGCTCGCAGGGCCCGACATTACAAAAACGGAAGGTCGATGACGACGGAGAGTCTAGCTGGATGACGGTTCCACAGCCTCTTGCTAGGTTCGATTGGACACGAGCCGCTCATGAGGAGGATGCGGTCCATTTTGTGGTCAAGTACACGAAAAAAGCCATCGAAAAGAACGGATGGTACTGGTCGGGAATTCGGGAAGATGTGAAATACATCGTTCAAAATTGCCCGGCCTGCGCGGCGGACAAGGCGCCTCTACAGATGCCTCGGACGATGGTGCCCACTCGTGTAGAGCGCCCCTTTCAGAGGGTTAGCATCGATACAACGGACATCAACGTTCTGAGAGGGCCCGTCGATCAGAAGAAATCAATGTTCTTTTAGTGGCCGTCGATCATTTTTCAAAATGGATCGAGGCGTACCCTATGACCATCCGGAATTCGCAGGAAGTAGCCTGGTACGAAATCAATTTTTGTGCATGCATCTAGACGTAGAAGAAACACATATGGACAATGGGTCGGAATTTCAAGGCGAAGTAGAACGTCACCTAGTCAGGGAGGACGTTAAGATTATCTACTCGCCGGGGCATTGGCCTCAAGCCAATGGCCTGGTAGAGAATGCCAACCGACTGATTAAGATGTCCCTTAGACGGAATATCACTGCGGGAGATACCCGACCCTGGCCAGTCATTGTGGATCACATTTTGGCCGTTTATCGGGCTACCCCACACGGTAGTACCCTCGGGTGCAATTGTGCCCCTTAGCGGGTACGGAAGTTAGAGCAACACAGGCCCAGAATCGAGACATGGCCCGCCACTACCTGGACTTAATGGCTAGGGCCTATCCCCCGTTAGCTCGCCGTCGACAGCAGGCCATAGATCGGACGCATCAACGGCAGATCCGGAACTACGAGAACCGGCACGCGTCGGCGGGACCACTGCCCCGCTATAAAGTTGGGGACTTGGTACAGGTACGGAAATCTGCGCGCTCCTCCAAGATCCACCCGCGCTACAGAGGCATTTACGAGGTCACGGAAGTTGGCGCACAGGGACAGCACTGCGTGAAGCTGATTCCCCGTCACAACTTCCAACAATGACCGCTGACACGGTACGCTGCCTCGCTCCGGCCCTTCCAGCCATCGCTAGGTCCCCTACGGACTCCTGCTCCTATGCAATCACCTTCTCCTTCTTCATCCTCCTCCTCTTCTCGATCTGCCTCGTCCATTGGTGCTGAGAGTTACGGGGAGCAGCATGAACCATCGCTAGCCGGAGCATGAGCCCCTCGAGCACTTCCAGACGCCGCTTGCAGATCGCTTGTTGCGGCATCAGTTTAACGAGGAGAGGCAGTTGCGGTACGACATCCAACAGGTGAACGTGCCAGCGCCCGGGGTTGCTGATCTGGCGGCATACTCGTTGCTTTGTGATCGGCTGACATATGTGGGGGTGTACGTGGACGTGACGCAGTTGCCTGGCCGGGAGACGACTCGGGTATTCATTGAGTTCCGTGCGCTCCAGGTGGCACCCAATTTCGTGCACAGCGTCGACACCTTCATCGGAGACTTGACGATCCTCCCGCAGGAGAATCGGGAGCCGGCGCGCAGCTTTGTGCGCGAGTATGCTGTAGAAGCGGCCAGATCTGTGGCCAGAGTGCAAGGACGGAGCGAGCACCGATTCACAGCCCACGAAGTGCTGCTGCGTAGGGCAGAAGACAGACCGATCGCGCTGGTGCCGCAGCTCCCCGCGCTTCTCCCTCCCGCTGCCCCCCTCAACCTCCAAGCTATTCCCCCTGTCCCGTACTAAATGCCTCCTTCTCCTACACCACCCTCCCCTACCAGCTCACGGCGGGCCCTTACCCCATGCGCGAGTTCTCGGAGTACCTGGTGGAGCTAACTGGCGTGGAGCCACTGCACTTCGCCGACGAGGACGCGTTGGAGTGCGCTGTACAAGTCGGTGGCGCTGGGGATGTTCCAGTTCTTCGTGGATCACGAAGACCACGTTACCGGTGAGCACTTCGTCGTTTACTACGTCATCACGCGACCCAAGCCAGCGGAGAAGGAAGGGACGGTCGCGCTGTACCCATTCGTCCAGCTCCAGACGATCGATCCGAGATTTTTGGAGCTCATACATCTTGAGCTCCTCTCCATCGGGCAAGTGATCGCGAGCGAGGAGGAGGAGATCCAACCGCGACTGCAGACGGCGACGACCCCGTGGAGAACGTACAACGAGGTCGTCATCCTGGATTACATTGCGCAGCGCGCGGAGAGATTGGACGACTTCCCGGAGGAAAGGCCGTTGCGTCCTCCCTCATCGTACTCTCGGCCAGCGCCACCGAAGGCCCCCAAGAAGACGCCGAAGAGGAAGAGATGCCACCCGTTGCCAGGAGTGCAAGGCAGCAGGATCGGCGGCGGCGAGGAAGTGATTCAGCCCGCGCGTGCGGCGACGCTCATTAAGGAGACTATCGTGCCATCGCCGCCCATTCCGATTGTGCCCGACCTCAATCTTGATGGAGCCGGGCCATCATCAACAGCAGCAGCCAGAGGGGGAAGCCGAATGGGATTTCCGGATTCCATATCCAGACCCCCCGTCCTCGCGGGACCTCTCCGTTCCCGCCAACCACCCCGGGGTGCCCCGGTCATTGACCTTAGTAGTTCATCCGAGCCGGACGGTCCATCCAACCGAGGTGGACTTCACGGTGGAGCGCGCCACCATTAGGCTCGAGGCCATCGCGGGGGCGCCGCGCCCTGATCCGGCGTAGGAACCATACCTGATGCCCCCTTTTCAAGGGTGTATTGTGGCGCGATTGGCTGGGACGCTCATCTACAAGACTGGACAGCGTCCCAATGCGGTGTACCACTTCCTGGTCTTCGCGGCGCAAAAGCGAGAGCGGCGGCCTTATACAGAGACGCATGTGGTAATGACGGGTCGAGGGCCCCGATCGGTGCGCAAGCAGGTGGTGTGAGCGGTGGCGGATCTGGCGCCACGTGTCCTCTTTCATGTGCCGGGGGCTTTTCTTTACCCCTCCTTCGTCCAGCATCATCTCCATGAGGAAGATGCGTCGACGACTCCTGCGGCAATGACCGCCTTTCTTCCACCTATTCCGCCCCTTCTCAATCCCGACATAGATCACTTCATCTGATCACCTTCGTCTACCTCTCCCCTGTCCTCTCCTTCTCCTTCTCTTCTTCTTCTCTTCCGGATCTAAAGCTCGCGCGACAATACGCGCTGTATAAAAAAAAAAAAAAAAAAAAAAAAAAAAAAAAAAAAAACTTTAAAAAAAAAAATAAAATAAAAAAATTACTTACCGATCGGGCCAGCTGACGATGAAGAGGCCGCCCGATCATCCATGATATGATGACATCAGCAGTCGGGAGACTGCTAATTTTTCGGAACCCCCTGCGTATCACAGATGTGATAAGCTCAGATCCGTACCGCGCAGCTTGCCGTATCCCTGGGGAAAAATCCCACGGAAGCCCCGAAGTATGGACGCGGATAGAAAGGGGGTTTTCTTTCTTTTTGCTTTTGTTCTCTTTTTGGAACGACTTTTTCATTTTGTTTG